CTCACAAGGTCCCTTCCAGCCCTAAACTTCTGTGAATCTCTCGCTACCCTGCCATCTCCAAGATCTGAATCTGGCCTGCCTGCTTTTTTCTGGGAGTCCATTTTGCTTTGGGAAATAACCAATGAAAAGCCTCTTTTGTCCACAGGGAAGTGGAAAACATGTTTGTGCGAAGATGACGATAAGGTCATAAGACAGGGTGACGATGAAGAAAATGAAGATAAGGTCACAGCCTGCTGCCCTGAACAAGCTTTAAGTTCTAGGCAGGGCTCAAAGGGACTCTTGCCTCTCTTAAGCAGACAGGATTATTATCCAGTTTGAGCAGTCTCTGCTAAAGAGACCGAATATTTTTTTTTTTTTTTTATAATCTAGGGCACTGCTTCAAAAACCACCCACGTAGCAATTTGTAAGGGGGAAAGACTGAAAGCGCTGGACAGCAGGTCAAACGGGGCTTCCTAGTTTGTTTATGGAACATGAAGGGCCTCATAAAATGTATTCCAGGAAAAGGAACCAGAACCAGCAAGCGGTGTTATGGCCGTGTGGCTTTGGGCAGACAGACTCTGCCCATCAAGATGGTCAGAATATCTACATTTCCAGCAGGGCTGGGGCCGAGTCGCATGGGTCCAGTCCTGGATATTCTCTATGCTCAGAGCGGTTCAAAACAGGGGTTTCGGCTCTTCCCCTTAAGTAGATCCAAATCTCTATAAACAGTTGGTTTTGCCTTTTTGGGAAGGAGGAGCAGCAGGGAGGAAGAGGGTGGATCCTCTATCCACTAAGGCACGCTTCAGAATAGCCTCAAAAAATCCTCCGAGAGCAGACACGACATTCCTGATACTTAGGACAATAGCTAATAGGAAAGAAGCAAAAAGATGGATCCATTTCTCTCTATCCGCCTTGGGAGAGAGGACAGAGATGAATTGTTCTCTGTGGCTTTAGGGGACAGGACTAGGTGCAATGGCCTCAAGCTGCCACAAGAGAAATCTGGGTCATAGATTAGGGGGAACTTTCTGACCACGAGCATGATCAAGTATTGGAACAGGCTACCTAGAGAAATTGCAGAATCTCTGTCTTTCGAAGAGGAGGCTAGACAGACACTTGGCTGGGTTGGTTTAGTCAGGGCTGATCCTGCCTTGAACAGGGGGCTGGACTAGATGACCTTGTGGGGCATGGTTGTGCCAGATGAGCGTGGTTGTGCGGTATGTGGCATTGCAAACACATTTGCAGCGCCACATCTCTCACAGTCTGATGTTTTCTGTGTTGCAAGGGTGCGCTGCCCAAGTGTGTGCTGAACCAGGTTTTTTTGACCCCTAGATATCCTGGGGTCCTAAAAAAAAAGAAACCACGGGGAAAAAACAAAACAAAACAGAGCAACACACTTGGTCAGTGTGCTCTGCTTCCAGCCAGGCTCCACACAACAGAATCACTATGGCTGGAGCCCCAGGAGGACCCCAGGTATGGCTGCTGCACACTGCTGGCCCCAGCCTCCCTTATCCAAAGTCGGGTAACTTTCTGCGTGCCAAAGTGCACAGGACACAGGCGTTCCCCAAGGACAAGAAGCGGCCGTGCAAGGTGTGCCAGCGCTACTTGTCCCTGGGGAACCAAACGTTCACGTACATCTGGATGTGCCCATGGAGTCCTGTCCAGCCTGACTTTCTTATGATCTTAAAAATAGAGATAGAGAGAGATAGAGGTAAAGGTCTAATGATCCTTTTGAAAGCACCCAGATCTGCAGTCTCCAGTATCACATTCCAAATTTGTACTCTTTCAGATGCATAAGAGTTCATGGTGTGCTCCTAGCATGCTTGTATCACACACTGCCCTGCAGCACTCACCTGCACTGGGGAATCTGGCCAGGTTAGATCTGGCCTGTATTGGACAAGGTGCTGATGGGGGAATGCAACAGGAAGAGGGTGGAGGTACAATTCACACTGCAGATGCAGCGATTCTGGAGCAATACATTCAGAGCGGATTTAAACAAAAAACCCAGCGAAGCAGGTGGAAGATTCTGCATGAGTCATGAAAGCTTTCTGCCACCCAAAATAGCTTCAATAGCTAGAGAGAAAGGTGGGGTCCCTTAGACAGTCCCTTTGATGTGGTTTACTGTAGAGGACAAGGATGCTGCTTCAACCTTGCCATTGTTATTTGTCCTCTCTAAGGTTCTCAAGATACAATCAACACAAGGTGGAGATGGTACAGGCCAATCAAGTCCTCCTCCGACAATGCAGGATTGTTCCTCATCCAAAACCTGACAGAGGTTTCTTTCACCGACTTCCACATGGGCAATAGGGCTCTGAGATGCTACGGAACCGGTTGCCTTTGTGATTTATGGGGAGGGAGTTGTTTGCAGCTTGTTTGATCTAGGAGGTTGGTTAGAAAAACATTTGCCAGCACAAGACAGTAGCCAAGGAGGACGTTGCACTTCAGGCAGGACGTGTTTGTTTGCGCCATTAGTTTCAAGTTCGCTCAGGGCGTTGACATGTTAGAAGGCTGCTGGCAAACCCGGGCGCTGTCTGCTTCGAGGGTTGCTGGCAAACCCAGATGCTGCCCACTTCATCTCCATCACTTGTGCGAGCCCCCTGCATTATGCCACATCTCCTGTGAGCACCACACATTCCCCACGACTCCAAGGGCGTGGGGGCACTCAGGGCCAGGCAGACACAGGCCCTGATGGCCCAACCCCGGCTGCCTTTACACACAAGGGCTCCGATTCTGCAACGAGTTTAAGCCAAGTCAATGCCACTTCAGCCATACACATTCTGCAATGTGCTGAGCACGGGCATCCTGCTGGATGGCAAGCAGCAGCAGGACTGCCTTTGGCCGCAGTAAGGCTGGAGCGGGCAGGCCAGAAAGACAACATAGTGGCCAAACACAAGAGGGGCTTGAGGGGGATAAACAAGCCTGACTCCTTGTGAGAAGAGACAAGTTCAAGGCACCACGATGCTTGAGCCCATTGGTTCTGGGAAGCGACCCCGTCAAGTTATCAAATAGAGGGGATGGGGCTGGAGCACAAGCAGCTTTTAAGGAAGTCAGAGGTTTTCCTGCTCCTGGGGCATGAGGACGGGGTGCGGAGAGGCCTATTTAATCTGAAGTGGGGGTGAAAGTTTCAGCTGTGCTTCCAAGTTTTAGCTCTGCTAAATTCAGAGGAATTTAGATTCGGGCCCTCATGTTGGTAGCTCTTCTTAAAGAACCCAAAAAGTCCTTCAACGTCTCTTAAAAATATACATATAATCAGGGGTCTACTTGTGGCAAGACCAAGCCATTTTTGCAGCTTGGTCACAGCATAAAGAGCTGATTCTATGGGCACTTCGCAGCAGCCCCACCCCTCACTGCCAATTGGAGGAGAGGCATATACTGTATAATTTGATAGCAAATTCCGCGGGAAATAATTATATTGTATAATTATCATAGTATGATAAACTGAAGTATAAAATTTAAATCTAAATTGAAATACATTAAATATAAATTTATATACAATATAAATTGTAGCTTATATCACCATAATGATATGTAGCATTCTACAAAAAGTTTAGAAATACTAATTAACGCTAACTTGAACAGAAACATGTTCACTTTGCTGACTAGCGACTTCACTTAGTCTACGGCACTAGCAGGCACCGGCTCTCAATCACATGATCCAAGACTGCCGTGGTTGTTGCGCAGTCTTTGCACCGCAGTGAGCAACGAGACACTTTAAAACAGAATAACACACTGGGTCGGTTTGTCTGTTTAAGATTGACTTTTGCGGGAAATCACCGCCGATGCAATATTTCCTGGCGATCATGGACAGCTCCATTTTTTGCAGCTGCCGCAAAAACCATGAAACCACGCATTAAGTCGACCCCTACACACAACTCCTTCGAAAGTCCCTTTTCCCGTGGGTCAGCAAAACCAGGAGCTTGGGAGACAAGATCCCTTTGCAAGTGCAATTCTCCTTTGGCATGCGAAGGAAACTAAAGAGAAACCACCCGAGACACGATATGAGCAGGCCCAGCGTCCGCAGCAGGGCAGAACGAAGGGCTGGTTATTGTCCGCCTGCCACTCTTCACTTACCGCCAGAGTGACTCGGTCTCGCTCGATGAGGTCGGCCAATTTGTGCAGCAGCCTCCCGCGGCTCAAGACGTCCATTTGTCTCCATGGCGATCCCCTCTGGAACGCGGCTCTTGCTGCCTCCACCGCCTTGTCCACGTCGGGCTAGAGCAACCACACACGAGTGCAGGTTAAAGAGGGTCAACACCTGCTCGGCGCTACCCAGCTGTGAGCACAGTACTCGCAGAGCCCAGCTACTGCACTGCCTGATCATCCGCCCTGAGTCTCCTACTTTCCTCCTGACTTTGGCACTCAGCCTGCAAGGTGTCAAGTGACCTCGCGGTCCTTGCAAACGGGTCTCGTTGGACCTGGCCAAACTGGAACCTAAAACTTCCTCTTTTGACAAGTCAGCGAAGCTCTTTTACAGGCAGGAGCAGGGACATTTATGGAGCTGGGCCAAGATCTTTTTGTATCGCCTACTTTGCTAGCAACGGATGGAAGGAGGAAAATACCTGCGCTCAACTATGAGCCCCAGACAGTTTCTGAGCAGTGGTTCTCAACCTTTTTAGACTCCAGGACCCCCTCAGAAAATGCCAACCTGCCGCTTTCATTCATTTCTTGATTACAGAAAAAAAATAGGTCAATTCTTCTATTGCAAAGAACTCAAAGAGACTGCACAACCAGGTCAGAATGGTTTTTGATGCAATGGAGTCCTATTTGAAACCGCTAGAATTACCCAGTGCCCCATACCTAGCAGTGCTAATATTGCACGGTACCCCACAGTGCCCTTAAAAAGATCTCATGGCACTTGAGTGAGAATCGCCGCGTTAGGAGACTGGACAAATGTTCCTCTGGCTCCAGCAAGAGATCTGGTGTTATTCTCGTCTTCACAAACCAAATCTGGATGGATCAATATCTTTAGAACTAAAATGTGGGAAAGGAAACACACTTGCAGCATGGATATTATTATGGTTTTAGCCAAGGCAATAATTATAGTTCTCAGACCCCACTGGACAAACCAATTTTTCCCCCCATGCAAACCCATAATTACTCCAGTCAAAGACGATTCAATTCACACCCCCCCAAAGAAAAAAAAGCAAAAAGCAAATTCATTAAGAACTCTAGACCAAGTTTTCTTAACAACCAGTTGTCCCCCATTACGTAAGGCTGGTAAGTGTTCTTACTCATTGCTGAGAGCCTGTTCCTCAGCTAGTGTAATTAGGGATCCCTAGCCATAAGTGGCTATTGCTACTTAGAGAAGTAAAATAAGCAGATTTGGCTCCATTTCTGTATACTCTTCATATGCTTACTCTGGCCAACATCTGCCTCATTCGTTTCTGTACCTCCTCCCCCCTCCACTTCCCTAGACTGTACATCGATCGTATTTTTAAAATACAGGCAAAACCGTGACTCCAGTGAAATTGGTAGGTGTTGCAGATAGCTCAGGATGTCTCCTGTTTTGTACAACAAGGAAACCTGTTTTGTACAACTTCTTCTAGCATACACTTGACACTTTCTGTAATGAACGTATGCTTTCAGGGGAGGGGTGTGCACGTGTGTCTGTGCGCACACACAACAATAAGAAATATCACTAGCAATTAGACATGAAGATTTGCAAAGGAGGCTGCAACAAACGCCACCGCCTGAAGTGGCATCTGCTTACACACACCCAATGGGCATTTGGTCCTCTCCCTCTTTACAAAAAGGATTACACAGTATTTATCAGCCTGTTTTCCCAAGCAGTTGAAAGCAGAACTCCACCCTTGCTGGAGGGCAGAGGCTAGGCTAGGGCATTGTCAGAGACCCAGGTTAGTTTTATTTCCAGAATTAAGGTAGAAGTAGCACATGGCAGCTAACGTGAGGGAGTCTTCCTACCGGCATGCATGCTGGGTCTAGCCGGCTACATTCACACGAGGCCTTGGAAGGACTGTGTGGTGCCGATCCCGAGGTCACTCCAGCTGCATCATACATACACGGACCCAAGTGCTGTCATCTACCCTGTTTGGCCCCATCAATCACAGATGAGAAGACCTGGGAAGGCTCTCCACTTTGAACAACCCCCCCACTTCATTTAGCTGCTGAAATTAGGAACTAAGCCTCAAAAAGAAAATAAAAAAATAAAGGCAGGGTACAAGGCATAACGAAGTGTTAGCTATATTCCTTAGAAAGAGAAGTGGTTTTAACACTAGCGATGGGACATGCAGAAGGCAGAAAGCAGGGCAGGGTGGCATCCCAGAGACCGGTTCACAAAGAGACAAGTTTTTGAGTCAGTGGGACTATTTCTGTGGCCTTCCCTTTGAGTCGAGTCTGGCCCTGGATGCGTTTGGATCCGAGGACTCTGTACCCGTGGACAACTCTGCGTCCTGTTGACGGTGGTGGGAGTGCAAATCACTACTGCCACAGTCGCTATCTCACGTCACTGAGACCTGATGCCTCCACGACCTACCGAGTACAGAGTGCTTAAAGCTGTAATATAGCCCCCGGTGCTTCATATGTCACAGCACCGCTCTCCTCCAAAGGCATCAGTTCCTGATAGCACACCTAGGCTACAATATCCCCCGAAACAAGTTATTCATGGGTATGACTCACATGCTGAATATTCAAAAGGTTATTACTTGCATGCGTACAATGCGTGCTCACAAACCCACAAAATGGAGCGTCTGAATTCCAACCAGCCAAAACAAGGAAATTCTTAGGTAAGACTGAAATGCCATTCATAATCCGCCTTGTTATGACTAGGCATTAAAAATGGATCCAAATGGTGCGTTACGTTACATGGATGTTGCAACACGTAGGCACAATGCGAGACAATGAGAGTCGCAACTGTCAAGGTGCCAAGGACAAAACGTGGCGCGTAAACCCAGGAGGACGCCTGAGCCTGACTACCTTCCATCGCTGGGATTGATTGTGAGTATTGCACACAAGGACCTGGGTTAAAAGTAAGCGGAGGTCGCAAAGCGGAGCACCAGGGAGTTTGGAAATGCCCAGGAAACCTCAGCTTGCTCTTCTCCGACTCTGGGTATTGCATATCAATCCAAATATCTAATTATTACTATTTCTTCCCTCCACCACTCTCACCTCTGTACATGAGTTAGACAACTTCCACCTCCTTGGTGTCTGGGCCCCTGAGCACTAATAAAACAGTCTCCCTCCTCTCAGCAGTTATGCCCAGTGCCTACATAGGACATCACAAGTAGGAGCAGCAACTGCCTGGAAAGTCCTGCTCATCTCCAGGTGGGGTAAGGATGGCACAAGGCAGACCATCCAGCGTGGCCAAGCTAGGAGGGGACTGGGCATGCCCAGTGCAGATGGACCTTTCAGAAAATTTAGCTCCCAAACACCTTAAGTCTCTACCAAGCATGTGCCTACAAAAATTGTGCCAAGACACAGGACTGGATCTAATGTAGGCATTTTCATGGGACCAGGTTAATCCATGGGACCAGGACAACCCCCAGCCAAGCATCAAGTCCCTGCCCCCCCCCCAAAATTGGGGTCTTGGTGCTTCTTAATGAAACAGTTCAACAAATTTTGTTCAATGAAGACAAAAGGCTGTGTAGGCTTCCCTAGTCTCTTTCTGGTAATGGCAGAGTCATTTTTGCTAAAACTTTTAAAAATAACAGCAGACAAGGCAGACATCTGGCATGGAAAATTTCAGTCCAACCAGTGA